TGAAAACCGCTACTTTGACCGCACGATCGATTTGTTCTGGTAGTAGTAATCCGTTTAACCAATTCAGGGTAATTAGGTCCTGACGCTCTTGATCAATAACCACAACTGTACCTTTCTCTTGCCGTAGAGCTTCACTCGCCAGCCGATCTGCACTCTGATTCCAATACCGCTTCATGTGCAACAACTCGTGATCTGGCCACAATCTTAATCTCTCCATAGCCTTATGCCTCAGCCATTGCAGTTCCGGCGCTCTTCAGTCTATATCTCACCGCATTTAACGGATCACCAAATTTGAATCTCCGCAAATTATCACCCTTCCGCTTGCCTGATCTGCAAGCAAATCAAATTTGAGGATCAGCCCTCAATATTCTGCTTCATTCACGGTTAGATTAGGGGTAAACTCGGAAGCAGCAGCCAGAATCGTCCATTCCGGCAATTTCCAAATAATCGCGCTGTATGCTCCGCCCTTTCTTTAGACCCTGGCTGATCCATCAGAAGTGGCTACTCGCAGGTTTTCATTCGCACCTACTGTGGGTGGTGGCTTAATCAATTGAGGCTCAATCCGATCGCGTAGATGTACTGCCTTACTTGAGCCAGAGTAAATCGCTGAATACCGACCAAATCATCCGACTCCATTTCGGATCAGCCGAGGCGTACTGCAACGATCCGGTATTGTATCTTCTCGGGACGTCGGCAATCGTGGTTTGGGTTTGATCTGTGTATCGTACTTACCCGTTAGGGGGATCAACTTGTCTATAGCAATCTACACACAAGGATCTCCTGATCTTGATCGCACTCCAGCAACTTGCTCACGTCTAACAATCCATCGACGCACTCAGCGTCATGTAGTAGCTGGATGATCGCATTGATCTCGTCCAGCGGGTTAGTTGCCATAGTCGGTGGGGACATCGACCTCGAACCTCTCTGATCGGTTTAAGCTTCGAAATCTGAAGCACTGGATCGCTTTGTAGCAGATTATTCAGCGCCTTCTAGTGATATCCCTGCACCAACTGATACAACTGCCAGCCTTACAAGTTCATGAACCGTGCACAAACTTGACCGGTATATTGATCAATTTCACTCTGCTATCGTTTAAATCCTATCTGGGCTCTTCTTTCTTTACTCCAGTTGTCTTCACAATCTTCTTTTAATACATTGCTTGAGTGGTCTTGTATAGTTACCCCCCAGTTTTTGCCGTAGAAATTTCACCCGGCGGAACGTGCTTTGCAGTACAATACACGGTGGTCCCCGAAGGGAACTCAGGAGGGGGTTTCTCTTCCAGATCAATTAAACTTTTTTCTTCTTTGCTCTTCTTGTCATCAGATCCGCTCCCATTACTCTTTGGAACCGGGGTCTTCTAAAATCACGGATCTGCGGTGATTCCTCCGCCTCATGCGATTCCATCACGGAACCTTGATCCTTTCATCTTCACTCAGGGACCCACGGAGTATCAAAAGATCCGGGCACGCGCACCATTGTGGTGGAGTGGCAATCGCCTATTTTATGAGGAGATCTCGACTCTCCACTGGTGCCCAGACGACCGACGATCGGAGGATAAACTCGGATATCGTGCATTGTATTTCCTTCCCCAACTTTTTACCCGTCGGTAGTGCGGGCTGCACTCTTCTCAGTGCTCTCGTGTCGAGAGAAGACTAGACCGTTTTGGGAATGGGGTTTGTGATCGTGCGGAAACCTTCACACGATCACGGGTATACATGTAGGTTATTCGATGTAAGCTACCCAGAGCTCAACGAGATCGCCTTGTATACTATGGGGATGCTTGATACGCGAGCCTTCTGACAACTTGAGCCGCCTCGCGATCTTGCGCCTTTCCTTTGCGTTCTTGCTGCGTCCAATCGCAGTTGGGGGGAGGTGATAATTTTTGATCATCTTTCACTGTCTTTGTCTAATCAATGAATATTTGTTCTTGTTTATTGTCTGTTACGACGAATTGAATTTATATAGGCGAAAGGGAAGCCCATACACACTATCCATCGTATAGTACCCTAAACTAATGCCTATGAATATATCAGACGATAATTAATGTTAGTTAAAGAGTCAAATAATAGTGAAGTAAGCTAAAAGATGCGTCCATTTTAAGATGCAATAACGAGAGTAAATCACAAATCCAGCACCAGCTAAATGCAAGCATCTCAAAACCTGCACCAGTTGCATAATTAGTACCACATCGCGACGGAATATAACGGGGTGAGCCTGTTACGTGTAATTAATCCTTAATTTTAGTTAATTAGAGTAATATCATAAATATTATCAGCGTTCGTTAATATTACCACAAAGAATTATATCTAGAAAAACTTGCCGATTAACTAATATAATTCCTCATATCAGCCAGCTGTGGTGGTCCAATCAATGATGGACGCGCGCAATGAGTGGCGAGCAAGTCTTTTACCTACATTTTAATAGCTAAACATAATCAAGTTAGGACTGAACATAGGCACATCTAATTGGAATTTAATCATACCTTATACATATTTACTTTTGCCAGCAACTAGTCAGTTTTCCTAGTTGCTTGCCCTTCCATTGCGTAGTTTGCAGGTGTAACGAAGTACCACTCACAATGATTTTAATGAGAGTAGCTCCACACTGGTTGTCCAGTGTGTTCCTTTACTGCCACTTCGTGACGGAAGTTATGTGTACTACGATATTCAATGGGTAACCGATTTATCTAAGGCTCCAGATACCAAGAGTAGAATGGACATAAATTAAATACTCTTATTGAATCGAGATGCACATAAATGGAGGTGTTCGCCCTTATAAGCTGTCGTTTGAGTCCTCAACATTGACATTTGGTGGCTTGAACGCTTTGCAATCGACTTCGGCGTCAGAACTTTCATAAATGGTATGTTTGAAAGTGTCAATTTTTCGGCCTGCGGCTACTAGAAAAGTACGCGACTAAAACTAGCTGAAATACCGCTTTCTTTTGAGGTGGATCAGACGATCAGACAATAATAGTGAGTCTATTTTTGTTTTTTTTCGCTGAAAGGGACAACCATATTGAGACGAACAAAGTACTAAATGTACCCCACGAATCATACCAACGGGTGGCCCCATGGTGTAGTCGCACAGTAATCTGACTTTTAAGTAATTGAACTCGAGTTCGAAGCCCCCCTTCGGTGCAAAATGAGCGAAGTTAAGGATTAGTAAAAACTGGTTATTAGGAACCGGTGAACGGCTGAATAACCATGCCTTCCACCAAATAGCCTCTGGGAGAAGATGTAAAAAGTTTAATGGACGTATTCAACCCATGCACCATACCAAACCACAAAAGTTTATACGACAAATTGAGCGCCACCGTACCTCTATACGACCACTATAACCTAAAACAATCGGTATCGATTGTGCAAATAGTAAGTGGTTTTATCAATCAATCTTTGTTTGACAGGCGATGGCCTGGTCCTAACGCAGATCCAGGAAAGACTCGATCAAATTACACGTAGCTGTATAGTACAACGTCTTATTTAAAGAGGTGATCCTTTCTGCAAAGGATATATTGATTGCGTTCGGTGAAACGTGGACCTCTGTTTCATTCAACTTGCACCTTTCCCGACTGAAACCTGGCTGTTGTCACTCCAAAAGATACAAATAGCAACCGAGATGTATCCGGAATACAGTGATGAGTATGTCTTGGTCTTCAGTCAAGCCGTTTACGAAGGCGAAGATCTTCAATCGTCCATTGCGTGCCAAGAAGTTTATTTAGTAGATCACTTTGTATTTCTACGACAGATGCAGAATGTTATGCGGTAGTGGCCGTGCAGAGGTATGGTGGCGCGATATTAGTCGTACGAACCATATTGTGGTGTGGTATGGGTGTGGCGTATGGAACTTATTTGATAAAAAGTGGGGTGTATTTAACAGTACCCTTTCTTTATGGGATCTTTCGTTGGTCAGGGGACTAATAATAAAGACAAAAAGTGTAGCGGAGCTACACAGCTCCTTAAGTCAAAGGAAGACTTAACGCTCTTCGAGCAACTTAGTTCCAAAGAACTAACGACTTTACGAGTCAACAAGCTTTACAGCTTCAGATCCCTGTTCCAGGGGACCTAACGATTCAGTGAATCGACAGCACTCAGTGCTCAAGAGTAGCTACCTCAAGGAGGTGTTACTAGCTCTTAGTGATCATTGATCAACGATCAAGACGGCTCGCAAGCCACGCGTCCTTCAGATCAAAATGGGAACTGATTTTATTTTTGTTAAAGCCTATAGATTATCTTAATCCTACTCAAAGATCTTTCGTACCTAATGGCTGACACTCGTCAGCCCCTACAAACCAATAAGATATTCTATATCACCTTCACATAGGGGTAACCTCAGGTGTGTAACACCTCTGGTACAAAGTACCATAATTCCGTGCAACCCCGTTACACCCTCCCCCACCAGACTGACGTTTGCCAAAACGTCAATCGAACTTGTGTTCTCAGCGAGAACAGTGCGCGTACGGTGAACCTCACGGTAACGTGCGCTCTAGCACGATGTCCTCATTACCAAACGAGTCAAAGGCTTTGTGTGACTACCTCGAAATAGAGGAGGAGGTGGACTATGGTAGCGATACCAGTGTCCGCGGTGATACAGGGACAATGTCCGGCTCACTGATGCCTGAGGCACAACCTTCGAACACCCCAAATCCGTTCGCTGAACGTGGAGGTGCGAGCGCGCCACCAGCGCAGCATGCAGCATCTGGGTCTGATGAGACTATCATCACGAACCCGCTCGATGAGCAACAACAACTGCTTGTACAAAGAGAAGAAAACGCTCAGCGTTATGTACAAATGGCTGCAATCCTTGAACGCCAGCGTGACTATGTGTTCACCCCACCCAGTGTGGAGGAACGTCTACGTCAAGCGGCCGGCCAAACATCGGCAACGTGGGTCATTGGCCATGGGCCTAAGACTCCTGAGGAGGTGGTGAGCTGCCAGGCACTTCGTGAGAGGTAACTGGAGCCGCACCTAACGACTCAAAGTCAATACAAGGCACGCCTTGACATGCAAGCACGTGGTGCACCGATTCCACCGATCAAGGGTATACCCATTCTCTTGCTCGCAGGCGAAACAGTGAGCGAAGAAGACGATGCCTTCGTTCACTGGGTGCACTATGTGCGTCGCCTCAGCAACATGTTTGCTCTAAGGGCTAGTGCCCATGCGGCGGATGTGCGTCTCGAACGCAAGCTTCGGTATGATTATGCCAAGCTTAAGGCCAGAGGCCAATTGCGCAAGCGCACGCGCTATGCGTCGGCTACTAAGGTAGTCGCGAGTGCTGGTCAGTCTGTGGCCAACAACCCGCCAACCCGTACCACTAGTGGTGGGGAACGGACTCGGTCTCGAGATGACCATGGCCACGATGCTCAAAAGCATCCAAAGCATATGGGCAGTCTTGCCGAAGGGGTACCTCAAATTCCCATGAGTTTTCAGACTCAGTGTACCCACGCCACTTTACCAGATACTGGTATTGGCCCTGACGACGACGTCGTTTCAGTAGTCTCTCGACATGAAATTGACGACACCCATGCTCATCGAGCAAAGTCGGTGGCGGCCGGTGTACCGGTGGCTCACGAGAAATTGGTTCTCGAAGTGAAGGGTCTTCAAGAGGCCTTGGGTAAGTCCCAGTGCATGCTGGATGCGATGCAAAGCCGCCTTCAGGCGATGGAGCAAGCTCAAACTCGGAGCGAGGCTCAGTTGGACTTGCTGATTCGCCTACAGCAATCTGGGGCAGTGCCCTTGTCGTCGGCGCAAGCGCCTCCAAGTTCACATGGGAAGGATCCCAGTACGGCTTAAGTAAGCCTACGTAGAACACAGGATGTGTGCGCAATTTGCGCGACAGGTTTAGCGTATACGCAAGTCCCTTCTTGGCCGTGACCGTGAACGGTCCAATAAAGCGTGGACGCAACTTTGTCTTAAAGACAGCAGACAATACATTTGTAGGTAGATTTTTAGCATTAAGTAGTACTTGGTCTCCGACCTCATAACGTTCAATACAATTTCTGCCTTTGGCATCAGCTTGTTGTTTTTGGGTATCTTGGCTATCAGTCATTGCGTCACGCACATGTCTTAAGACGTTTAATCACGTTGCGAGAAACTCGCCTACCTGTTTTTAAACAGTAGCAGGGCTGATATCAGCAAGCCGATCGGCAACCTCTCCCCCACCAAGCCCTGATTCACGTAGTGATAGCGTTAACGGAACGCGAGGGTGAGTGAGACCGTTTATATTAAACGGAGTAAAGCCTGTTGAGGCATGAACAGCGTTATTCAACGCAAACTCAACAACAGGGAGCCTTAAGCTCCAACGCCTAGGCGTATCAGCGCAAATACTGCGCAAAATGTCGTTGATGGCGCGGTTAACACGCTCAGTTTGACCGTCGTTCTGCGGATGATCCGCTGTGGACATGTCCAACCGAGTGCCAAGCACCTTAAAGATAGACTTCCAAAACTTCCCAGTGAAGCGGGGGACTCTATCAGAGATAATTTCCACCGGCAAGCCATGTTGGCGAAACACACGGTCGATAAACAGCTTTGCTGTACCTTCAGCATCGATGCTATCCGGCACAGCCGCTAAGTGAGCCATCTTGCTTAATCGGTCAACAAAGACCACAATACCAGTGTTGCCTTCCGAATCTTTCGTTAGGCCAAACACAAAATCCATACTCATGGACTCCCAACAACCAGTGGGTACTGGCAAACTAGCCAGCGGCGCCGCCGCATGTGCCGAGGGTTTAACCCGTTGACACGTTTCGCACGTACGCACATAGGTGCGCACCCACTTATAAAGTTTGGGCCACCAATAACTTTGGCTCACCGAGCTATAAGTCTTCTCACGACCGAGATGACCGCTTAAAGAAGTATCATGTGCCTCAAAGAGGATTCGATACTTTAATTCCTCATCATGAGGTACAGCGATACGAGGCTTATCCTCAATATCCGTGCGATAGCACAACAGGCCATCATCGATGGAATATCGATGTAGCCTCGCATGTAAACGTGCCGACAATTCTATGTCCGAGTCTTTAAACTCATCGCTCCCAAGAGTATGTAGCAAAGCTACACACTGATCATCCTTGGCACATGCTGCACGAATTAAGTCAGGGACTGACGACGACAGAGTCGTAACATGAGCAAGCTCATAGTCAGGTCGACGCGATAGCGCATCAGCCAAAGCATTTTGCTTACCTGGCTTGTACTTCACCTCGAAGTTATATTCGGCAAAGAAGGAAAGCCAACGAGCCATTCCTTTAGAAAATTGCGGCGACTGTGTCGTAGTGCGTAATGACGCATGATCTGTATAGATCACAATCGGCTTGGAGCCAAGCAGATGTACTCTGAATTTGACAAGAGCGTACTTCATAGCAAGTAGCTCTTTGTCATGAACAGGATAGTTCTTTTCAGCAGCTTTCAGCTGCCGAGACTCGAATGCGATGACGCGTTCGCGTCCGTCGACATCTGTTTGTAACAGAGCACTGCCTATGGCAAAGTCAGATGCGTCACAGACGACACTGAAAGGCCGACCAGAATTGGGCAAAGCCGATAATTGGCGCATGAAGGAGACTCTCCTTAACTGCTTCAAAAGCATTATGTTCGGTGTTACCCCAACACCAATCCACATCCTTTTTAAGGAGATTGGACAATGGCCGAGCCATATCTGCGTAATTTGAACTGTACTTATGTAAGTAATTGGCAAGGCCAAGCCACTTACGCAAGTCCTTTTGGTTCTCGGGAATCGGCCAATCGACTATGTCTTTCACCTTAGCGGGATCCACTTAAAGGCCTCGCTTCCCAATGAAGCACCCTAGAAAGGGAATCTCTTCTGCACCAAAGATGCACTTAGATGCGTTAGCATACAGCTTATTCGTTCGCATACACTCGAGCACAGCTCGTACATGATCAATGTGGTTATCCACATCTGATCGCCCATTCATTGCACGACTATGGACAACAATCTCATCAAAGTACGTTTCTGCATAGCCTCGATGAGGTCTGAATAGTTGCGTTTCTAGCCGGTTAAACGTAGCCGGGGCTTTAGATAGACCTTGTGGCATAACAAGCCACTCCCAGAGCATACCGCTCGGAGTACTCACCGCTGTTAGCGGAATATCACTTGCTCGCATAAGCAGTTGGTAGTAACCATCGACTAAGTCGAGTGCACTGTACAATGTACATCCTGCCATATTGTTCTGAAGCACATCCTTTCTAGGAATAGGCGTCTGCGCCGGTATAGTGGCTGCATCAAGCTTATTATAAGCATGCACAATACGCCACTTACTATTTGGCTTTTTGACACAAAGTGTCGGTGTTGAATGGGGAGACTTGCTCTCACGAACCATTCCAGCCGCGTGCTTAGCACGAAAGAAATCGTTAATGACGTCACACTGTTCTTTAGGCAAAGGCCACTGCCGTGTTACGCAGTATCCAGTTCCAGGAACTAAGACAATTTCATGACGTACACCTCTATCGGGAGGTAAGGCAGAAGGTGGGTTGTGATACACCACATCTTTAAATTCCTTATCTAAAGGATAGAACGGATCCAAAGGATCTTTAAGGATTAAAGATCCACTTCGTGCACTAAGTGCCGCCTTTGTATCCTCTAGGACAGACTCATCCATTAACGAGGAAGAATTCAACTCAGTATCAGGTCTAATGACCGCTAACTCGGATAACTCTCCTGCCTTCAAGACCTGGCTAAAATCGCCATCAGAAATCTCATCTAGCTCACAAAGAGCGTCCACAGATGGAAGGGTTTCAAGGCAAACACTGCCATCAACCTGACCAGTCACTCCATTAACAAGTGTATATAGTGTATTACTATTATCACTATGTGACTGTGAGGACGCCTGGCGCTTTACAGTTGCTACCCGGCGTCTCGGTCGTCTCTTCGATACCTTGCACCCCTTAGGGGTCGGGACAATATTGTCCCCATGGTTACTACTAACCATAGTACGCTCTATACGAGAGCTTATGTCTTGGCCGACATCCGGTGAAGTGTTACATAAATCGAACACTTCACCCAGTGGATTGAAACGTGCCACTCCATGTGTATTATGCGGGCCTAGCCCCAAATTTAACGGCTTCTCGCCAATAAGGTCATTACCGACATCAGGTGTGGTGCCCTCACGGCCGTCTACACTATACGGCGTATCTCCAACAGTATCATTACTGACATTAGGTGTGGTGCCCCCACGGCCGCCCACACTATACGGCGTATCGCCAACAACGCCATTACCGGCGTTAAGCGTGGTGCCCTCACGGCCGTCCACACTATACGGCGTATCGCCAACAATATCATTACTGACATTAGGTGTGGTGCCCTCACGGCCGCCCACACTATATGGCGAATCGCCAACAACGCCATTACCGACGTACAGCGTGGTGCCTTCACGGCCGCCCACACTAAATGGCATATGGTCAACAATGTCATTACCGACATTCAGTGCGGTGCCCTCACGGCTGACCATACTCGGTGTAGTTTCACGCGCCACCATACACGCATCAAAGGAATCACATCCTTGATCACTCGGCCCTAGACCAACCATGCTTTCAGCATGTAGTGACTCGTTATCACAACGAGTAACACTCAACGGAGTACGTGCCGTTTCACTAGTTTTAGACGAGCTAGGCTCAAAACTTATGTTTGTAACTTTGGAGTTAGATAACTCAGACATTCCAATATCCATCACATTGACATCTTCTGTCAAAGGCTCGCGCCAGTAGCGCTTCTGTTGCCTAGCGAAGGTGGGTTCATGACTCTCCAAAGCTTCGCTAGGAACATTGCGCGTAACGCCTAAGGTCTTTGACCTCCAATCAATCCAGGGCTCATGGCGTTCAAGCCAAGCCATACCTAGGATGAGATCATATCTCGAGTCCAAATCTAGGACAAGACAGCGCTCAATACTGTCAAACTCTAAAAACTTTATACCTAAGTTCAATGGAACTTTAGGCACAGTTATGCGACTTCCAGTCGCTAAACGAACCGTGATAGAATCACCCTTATGCACTGTAAGCGCCTCAGCATAACGCTGACTTCCCTCAAGGGAACGGCGTCGAGCATATTGCAAGACGCTACAGAATAGATCAATATCGACCAAGGCTTCTCAAAGCCCTTAATTATCGCCTCGGCGACCAACAAGCCAGGCTTGTATCCACGCACCATACCTGTAGGTATGGTACTCTTTGGGGCTAAGCCCTGCATTCCTTTACCTTCTAAAGGTGTAACAGAAACTAGTTCTTTCCCAGTAGGGCGCCCCGCGCCTACTGGGTGTCGGCATTTCCCCGTGCCATGCCAGACTTCTGACTCGGGGTCGAGTGTTGGCTCGTAGCCTGGCGTTGCTTACGCAAAGAGCAACCAGGCCGCAAATGTTTAGTGCCTTCGCACGATAAACATCGTCGTACGACGTGTTGCTGATCAGCAGCTTGAAGCTCAGCTTCACCTCCATCTTCAGCATAGCTGAGATCCATCGGTTCCGGCCTATTATAGGCAGTGGTACCCGAAAAGTTTGCCCTCACAGAGCGAGATTTGTATCCATTTCAACCAAGTCTGGCTGACTTGAAGTTTATGCTCGGCATTACGAGCAATTCTCACAGCCTCTTCAAAAGTAGAGGGGTGAACCCAAAAAACCTCGGTTCTGGCAATGCCAGTACGTAGACCTTCCATGAAGATAGTCACATGGACTGCTTCAGGCAGAGGGTCAGACTGCATTGCAGCCATGAGCGTTCGCAGCTCTTGAACATAGTACGATAGTTCATTCTTACCCTGGCGGGCAGAAAGAAAGCGTGAACGCACGCGGTAAGCCTGGTTAGGTGGAGAAAACACCTGTACCGATTGTGACTTGAGCGACTCCCATGTGGGAAACGCTATGTCCACCGACGTGCTACACGTCAAGGCCCATTATCTAGCTCTACCATCGAGCTTCGAGATAGCCAGCGAGACCTGTTGATGGTCAAGCGTGATCAGGCCTGATCTCATGGCCATCTCAATCTCACAGATCAGGAGGATGAGGTTCTCACCCTCCTTATTGGAGTAGTTTTTCACTTCCACTCTAAGTGGACGAGGCTTAGCCTCTTCGTCTGGTACAGACACGTAGCGTGTAGGCATAGCCGACGCTATTTGGTCTTGGACCTGCCCTAGAAGGGACGCTTCATACTGCAAGAAGATTTCAACACGTGTATTAAGCACTTCAGGACCTTGTGAAACAAGGAACTCCACGTACTATGGACCCAAAGATGCGGTCAGCTTATCAAGCGCGACCTTTTGGGCCTCAGATAGGGGAGTGGGGTTTTTAATCCTCACAGAGGATCAGTCTTAAAGACTCAGGCGTAGATTAGCCAACAAGTGCTACCAAGTGTAGCGGAGAAACACAGCTCCTTAAGTCAAAGGAAGACTTAACGCTCTTCGAGCAACTTAGTTCCAAAGAACTAACGACTTTACGAGTCAACAAGCTTTACAGATTCAGATCCCTGTTCCAGGGGACCTAACGATTCAGTGAATCGACAGCACTCAGTGCTCAAGAGTAGCTACCTCAAGGAGGTGTTGCTAGCTCTTAGTGATCATTGATCAACGATCAAGACGGCTCGCAAGCCACGCGTCCTTCAGATCAAAATGGGAACTGATTTTATTTTTGTTAAAGCCTATAGATTATCTTAATCCTACTCAAAGATCTTTCGTACCTAATGGCTGACACTCGTCAGCCCCTACAAACCAATAAGATATTCTATATCACCTTCACAAAGGGGTTACCTCAGGTGTGTAACACCTCTGGTACAAAGTACCATAATTTCGTGCAACCCCGTTACAAAAAGCCAATCGAATCGTTTCGTGCTCCGTCGAAACAACACGTGGGGATAGGAAAGTTACGTAAAATCCCGTGACTTTTTAACAGTCGACAGCATTTTTTCTACCAAGTGTTGCACATTATTACCATTTTCTACCACGTTTAGCAGCTTTTTATGTTTCCTCCAGTGAATATCGTTTCAACCAAAGTCTAATAGTTATACAGGTATTATTACAGCTCTGCAAAGCAGGGTCTCTCATGTGGGGTGCCAGGACGGATGAAAACATAAAATACAATAGAATGTTGTGCCGGATGGAAAACGCAAGTCACTATGTAATAGATAAGAGATCTGAAAACACAACGCACGCAATTATAACTTTTTGGACAGGTTGCTGACGAAGTTTTCAGCCTTAAACCTCACCTCAAAAGAGGAGCACCTGTGCATGACTGTTGTCATGCTGTTAGCAGAAAGATCGCAAATCAACAGCATTACAACGCAGAATATCTACGCAACGAGGACCACTATGCAAACTTCCTGTGGTTGCAAACCAAGTGAACAGCAGTTTACTCGGCCTTGACTTCCCCCATCCATTTCCCCTTTTGAAAGAACGACCAGACCAGAAGATGAAGGCGTCGGTGGTGGGCATTTAAACATGCAAATCGCAAAGAATGTGTTAGCATTTTTAGCATTTCAGAGAAGGCATGTATAAAGCCTTTCGTGAGAACAGTGGGCCTTTAGAACTGATTGCGTGAATGGCAGTCCATCGTTCTTACCCGTGCCAATTCTCCTTTTTTTTTGGAATGGCGGTGACGGGTGGGCGACGGACAATGGGGACGGTTGCAGCGCAGCATCCCATTTTGTAATTCTTTGACAAACTACATGACTGTTATTAGATAGTGTTTGGTAAAAGTCTGCTTACAAATAAGGCCTTGTTACTAGCGCTTTAACACTGGTAAAAAGTCAAATGTTATTAACACGGACATTTACCAAACATCCCTACGTGGGGGACCTGGTCAGATCAAATTCCTGACCAACCATGAATGGTCATTTTGTTCTTGTCTCTACGACGGCGAAGCTGCCTGATGTTGAAACTGCTTTGTGACGGATGCTTGATCAGAAAGAAAAAAAGCACGTCTGACCTGCAGCGGGATGCGCGCGGGAAGCAAAGCACGCAGGCCGAAACACCACATACTAACCAATGGCTTCCATCTGAAGTCCATCATGATCCATCCATGTTGACCTCTGTACATTTCGATGCAGCTAGCACTTGCGTTATCTACTCACGGGATTCGGGTGCACAAGTAAAACTCGATCTGAATGGCTGTTATATCGCACGATTTCCAGCTCGCCCCGCTTAACATTCTAAGGTGTTGAAGCAAATGGAGGTAGTGAGACTATCTCATGAAGTTTGTTCATGTACTGCTGCTTGGCACCGGCGGCTATGAGCATTAGCACCGGCCGACAGAGACATTCCTTTGATCGCATTGCAGTACCTCTTGACGCGTGTCCATCTTCGTGTGCTCGTATCTCCTCCTGCGAGTAAGGTAGCATTGTATTACTTGCTTCACACACGGCGTCGCTGCTATTCTCCTCGATCTTCTACGTCGTCGATCGCGTCAACATCGACCAAGCCGCCCTTGTCGGCATGTTCACTGTCATCGATCTTTACAGCATTACGTACGTCTGTGTCACTTTGAAAGGCGAGCGCGGCTTGCCTACAGGCCAGTAAGTCAGGCAGCCAGCTCGACGCGCTGTTCGTCATTGCCTCAAGACCGTGTCAGCAGATCGTTGGTGCCGCCTGCATTAATTTCTCCCCTTTGCCCCTAGCTAACGAGTACTTAGAGTCGACTAGTTTGAGTTTTTGCGTGACCGAACGCCTCATCTAACGCCCACGTGCGAGAACCTTTCCGAGACGCTTCTGTGCGCCACGTGGCGTGTGGAGGACACAACAGATCATACTTCTGGTCACATTACTGCATGCGCAGTACGCATCTTACGAGCAGTACAAAGCCACGCAGATTGGAAAAATCGGGCTCGCTCCTGACGCAGTGCACAAAGAGCTCGCTGGCGAGTAGCAGATACTATCGCAACGTGAGTTCTTTGCGGTAATAGCTAATAGCAATAGCGGTTGTCAATCCCACCCAGTAGCTACTATTCTACTTCAGCCTTCGAGTTGTCGGCCCGGTCGCCGAGCTTGACTCCCGAGCCCCACGAAGCAAACTTGCCTAGAACGTGATCAAGATCGGCCTAGTTCAGGTGCGTCAGCGGCCCGTCGGGGGTGATCGGTCTAGTACCCGGCGTTTCCTGCGACTTCAGCGCCCTGTCTTGCACCCCAAACTGGATATCCAATTCAACGTGCTCTCTGCGAAGTGTCCCCCGTGATGACCGAAGAGCCGAGCCAAGCAGACTAAGCCAGCGAGGAGAAGATGTTGTAGTTCGGGCAGCAGCACACGGATATCGTATAGGACATTAGCACTTAATCGACGTTCCGTATTTACCTCATTGTGCAGAGAGTGCATCAACTGGAAGACCACTGGTGTTCTCATCACCGGAGGCACAAGTGATTCAAACGTACTGGAGCCATTGACAGGGACTCAATCACTTTGTGCCCCATCAAAGAGAAAACGAAAGGATTCATGACGGTGGCATCTGCTAACTACACCTCCTTACTCCTGTCCAGTGACGAATGAAGTTGCTTCAACACGCGCGTGCCTTCAGCCGTTGCAGAGATGCGTGCAAGCCGGATACAGAGTAGTCGATACCGTGACACACCGGTATTGCATGACAACTGTTGTCACCAAGATGCCCGGCATGGCAGAGACGAAGTCGCTATAGCAATACACTCTAGCATGTCTAAATATGCCATGAGACGATTCACAAGACTCCAACCTTGAGACGGGCGCTGAGGCTTTATAGTCAACTGTGAGCTGACATTCGTGACGCCGAAGCGCGAGACAGAAAACCGTCTTTCAAATCGATCCATTGACCACATGATGTGCGACCCCGTCGTCCCCGGATTCCAGCCCATGTGAATGGACACTGTCGTGATGGCCCGAGTTCGGCACAATATCATAATCTGGATACTTGAAGGAGTTTGGTCTCCTTCCCTGGCTCTTTTCTCAACCAAACAGGAGGGGGGTGCATCAGAACAGACGCTGCCCACGTCGCAGCCTCAATAGCAGGCTCAAGCCCTTTTGCTGAACCAGCTGTTACACACTTGAACACCCATGACATCCGTCTCCGCAACGCAGCGGCTTTACGCAGCTCTTCTTGTCAGTTTTGCACTGGTCGCACGTAACGAGTGCTTCAGTTTTTGCACTGCAGCTTTCGACCAAGTAACTACTGGACGTCACGACCAATCTGCTCGTGCATCTGAGCTGCTCATTCTGACTTTTTTTGTCCCGAAAGGGTCTGAAAGACGAAAAAAGCCGACTCGATGCCAAAATGGAGAGTCGGCGGACCGATCGCAGGAGCTGCGGTCCTTTGCGTAATAACGAACGCAGCAGCTGCCATTGCAACGTCATTTGGCGATCTATTGACCATCCACCACGCCGAAGAAGGGCTTCCTAGTGAACAGTCGACGCGCCCTCTAGCGCCATCAAAAGACGACAAAAACTCGTTTTTTTCGTACACCCTAGCACCGAATATTGCGCTGAATTTCCCGCCAAGTACGTCTCCTCCGAATTGGGTGGGCCCGAGTATTGGTGACTTTACAGACTCGGCATGTTATCGCAAGATCCATAGGCGGGACTCAAATGGGGACTGTCCTCGAGGGTACGCGAAGAATGCAGGCTGGTGCTCGTCGCAGTGTCCAATGGCGTACCCCGTCCAGTGCATTGCCGAATGCGTACCTCAAAACGACGACTGTGTGCTGGATATCATGGCGAAAATCACCAACCCGGGCTACGTGGTACTTAACATTGCTACGGCTGGAGTGTTCAATGCGATACACAAGACGTCCAAGCATATCGAGCATGGCGTCGTGTGTACTTTTAACGTCTTCAATATTGCGGAAGGTATTTCTCGATTCCTGCGCACACGACAGCAGATTACGCCAAATGGAACGAAAGAGGAGCTGCTTGCTGCCGTCTATCAAACGGACCTGTTCCTCATTGATCTACCCGTTGCTATCAGTGCGTGCATGGGACACGACGTTCCGAGATATGCCTACTTCGCTGATGCGATCGTGACTGCAGCGGAGACGCTGGTAAAACAATTGGTGCTCAACCGAAACTTGGTCATGAGCTCTGCCGACGCTTTTATGGCGTTCTTTCGTAACACCACAGCAGGCAGGTCTACACAAGATCTTGATGCTGTCAGTGTGGCGGACATCACGACCCTGATCAAGTCCGGCTCGTCCTGCGGGTTCAATCTCAAGCGACTCACTGACCGCGTCATTGCGATGATTGCGGACATTCATGACGTTAATCCATATGCTAGCAAAGCAGACCTTCGTCGTGAAATCGGCAGCTCTTCTATCGTGCTGAATGCCGTTCCAACCGTCACGAATGAGTGCATGGGCGAGTTACTGAAGACGAAGAAGCCGTACGTCGCATACCAAACGCGGGATACGTTGAGAAAGACGTTTGGCGTGATCATCGAGCAACTGATCAAGACGTCTACTACAGACATGGGCAAGGCGATGGCAAGGAATGATTATTTGGTAAAAACAGGCAACTTGGGACTTCAAGGTCTGTCGGCTATTGATCCTACAGGTATCGCGTACATGGCATTCAATTACGTGCAACCCATGTGCGGCCCGACGGAGTTCATTGGTGAAATCGATGACGGGTCGCTGACAGATGCTCTTGGACTCACCACTATGGACGACGCCTTTCGTGGTAGTAGCGGCACGTGGTCTAAGAAGGGCGATGGTATTGTGCGGATCACTTTTGAAAGCACTGACACAAAAGACGTGAGGGTAGAGATTCACTCAGGGGGTAAAAGAATCGACTCCGTGAAGGTGTTGTCAGGTGAGATCGTGATTTGGAAGTCCACTGTGTTAGAGCTACAAGACAAAACTTTGTACTTGGATCGGTGGCGTCCGGGCTTTTTGGGCCTTCCTGGTTCAGGTGGTGGTTCTCTGCTACTATGGGTATCAAGGTCCTCAGAAGGCGGTCACCTCGAACTGACCGCGAAGATCAACGTGAGCTGAGACTGCTAGACCTCCATAACTTATCAGAGGAGCACGATGTTTCGGTCGAAAGTAGCTGGAAGATCGGGCTGTCGCTCGACTACATTGGCGTCGCCGTTTGTGTAGTGGATACTGACAGATTGTCAAACTGTCCCCTCACATTTTAGTGCCGTGCCACGAAGGTCTATGAGGCACATTTTTGAGCATAGAAATATTAGAATGTGCTATGTCAATAGCAGAGCTATATCGAAAGACCAGTAGGTCACATATACTACGACGAACCCGTCGTCGTCTTAGTCACTCGTGTTTATCAATGTTATTGTCTAACATTTCAACAGCGGCCACAGGGTCATCTCGAGTTCCATGCAGACCAAACAACAACAGTCACATGCATAAGACTATGTATGCTCGACGTCGGCTCGATAGAGATAGACATACGATAGCAAACTACTAGATGTGGCCGACGATGTCGATCTTCGACCTTGTATGAACGAGCCTGGTTGAGTCTTGATCTAATGAACAATAATATTGAATGATACTGCAACAACCTGAGGCGGCTTCATCTGAGCTGACAAGAACGTCACACGATGGTCAAAATTGGTAAAGATTGAGCGCAGTCTGTGAGCGGCGGTGTGACCCGACAGTAAGCTTTCATACTTCGTGGTGTCCCACCTAGTTACAGAGGCGAGTTTGGAGTATTGGCAGAATGGGACAAGTCTATAGATCACTGGTGATGTCATGGGGTCGTCGCGAAGTGCATTAAATGGCCAGAAAAACAGCTGCGAAACTGGTCTGGCCGTTCATCGCTACGCCTGAGATCAAGTGCCATAATGGTGTCCGAAGGCGATAGGATTGAAGGGATCGATCAATTAAGCGGTTCGATTTGAAGCTGTCTGTCGACCGAACCGTCGACTATCGCGCTAAACAATTCTAGGATTCTTTTCATCGCCTTGATCCTACCATAGCAATTTAATATCCGTTAGGGTATCAATTTGCGTAGGTTCGATGGTGCTGGAAAAAGGGGTATTTGTTTGCATTCTAGATGTAAAGCAGCGGAGGGCACACAAATTCTGTCGTTGTCCTTTTTAAGTGCCTGGCAGTGGTTTTACAAGTGCTACAGTGTTCACACAAATTGAGAATGGTAAAATTGTAAGTAATTGCTCTTCCCGTGATAATCTGGCGTTGAATTCAGCTTAAAGTCGATGTCACTCGAGTGGCTTCGCCATTTGCACACGACGACTTTATCCTGTTTCTCCTCTACTGATCGGACTTCTACACACGCATTAGAGCGACATGAACATCCCAAAGTCGATGCTCGTCGTTTTTTGCACCCTGCAGACATCATGAAAACCTTGATCCTTTTTGTAAAATACTTGCATGGATAATTATTCGAGTGTTCTGAATCCCTCTTTCAACGACGTCCAAGGTTATGTCGGTCTTCTAGGAGCAGGAGCACAGCAAACTGTACTCTTTACAGCTACAACAAAAAGTCACAGTGCAACGTGCATGGATCGAAAAGTACGCAACATACTTTAGTGGTTGAAGCTGGCGAAAAGGGTGTGGTACATCAAACTAAGTGTAGGTGTTTGTTCCACATTGGAGATTTGATGTAGAAGGCATCGTGTCGGCAAGTAATGCTCAAAGGCATGTTAATCGAAGCAGTTCTGCATGCATTGTCTCCGTGATATATCAACTCAAACTCAAATGGATACGTTTGTAATACATCATGTTGCAGCTTCTATGGCAAACCCACAGATGAACAAAGTCGGCGAAGCGTCTAGCTAACATTGACCTTAACATCAAGCTCCAAATGACCTCCTTGAGATGCTCTTGGTACCCACAGTACCAGTGAACCACCTCCTTTGCCGGGAAGACCAAGCAAACCAGGTCGCCGTCGAGTCAAATACAATGTTTTGCCACCTAGAGTTGCAACGTTTGACTTCCATTGGGCAGTACCACCTGCCGCGACACTCACTCGAGCGATTCTGTCGCTCCCAGACATAATGTTCACATGTACACCCTTCGTGTCGGTACTTGTAAAGCGAATAATAACTGCACCATCGCCTACTCTGGACCAGGAGCTGGCGCTTCCTTTAAAAGCTCTCTGTAAGGTGTTTAGCCCCAGTGTCGCGTCTTCTGTGCCGTCGTCAATCTCGCCCATGAACTGCGTAGGTCCACAAACTCTCTGAATGTACTCGGACAGCAGCGTCGCGATATCCGTCGGATCCGTCATGGAAGCAGAAATAGTTGAAAGTCCCGTGTCAATCCACTTGTACACATGTGCTTTCTCGTCCAACGACGTGCCATTGTCGCTATGTCCAGACTCAATGAGGTCGTTAATGATCACGCCGAAAGTCTTGCGCAGCGTTTCGCGAGTTTTGTATGCAGTCCCTTTGTTGGATTCAGAGATCAAGTGCTGTATACAGTTGTTCGTTACGAGGGCAACGTCGTAAAGAACGAGGTCTGATTCACTGATCTTGAGTCGAAGTTCGTCTTTCGTGATGCCCACAGCAGCTTCTCGGTACTCGCGAAGTGTCATCCAGACTCGGTCAGTCAATGACTTCAAATCGCCGGCACAACTCGAGTTCTGCTGCATGGCTGTTTCCAGCGACTCAATCTCGCCCTCGGTAATTTCTTCGGCAGCTTCCGTGAAGTTCGCGCCTTTGATGAACGCTCGAAACTTCTGCCAGCTCGAGATAATATCGTCTTCGTAGGTGAGAGCTTGCAGCAGCATCCACTGCGACGTGGCTAAAACGATCTGCGAAAGTTGCAAACTCGAGGGAATGTTCTTGCCCATGCACGCGTAGATGACCATGGGCAAGTCCGTCACGACATTGTTGGTCTGGTACAGCATCAACAGGAGCTTTTCGTGAGATAGTTGCGGGTCTTGTGTCTTGACGCTTCGAACGTACCGGATGATACCTCGCATCACAAGCAACAATTGGTTTGTGCACTGAACGGCCCACGTCAACTTCTTGCCCATTTTCATCAATGGACCAAATGCTCCGAACGTGGCTGTGCCGATCGCTGCCATGGCCACCGCAGATACTTTACTAGCCACTTCAAGTCTGCAGTTACTGTTCTGTAGCACGCATTCCATGCCACATTTAACGGGAAACTCAATTGGACATTCCGTCCAGCAAGTGTGCGTAAGGTCGTTGCGGTCGTAATTGCGAGGACAAGTGTGCATAATATGAGCCTCTCGGTAACATGAAGTATCGGATGAAAGACTCCAAGGACCGACCCAATTGCGATACGTTGATCGGACGGTGCTCATGGCAGTAGCTGGCGTCGCATAGTATTTCTCGACCAACGTTGCACTGTCGAACGGCAGTGATTCTGATGATGCAAATGATGCTGACGTTGTTGAAGGCGCCTGCGTAGCTTCATCGAGCGTCGGAAAATTTGGCGTTAACTTGGCTTCATCGGTCAAGGTGGTCCAATCGACACTCGATGCAATGGGGCTACCGACGAATCCGATGAGCCATGCTAATGGCATTCCAAACCGAATCATCTCATGGACCCGTGGGAGAAAAAACGAGAGAACGAAACGACGTTGGATCGACGACGCTTAAATTTAAGTGAGACCTTTAAACAATAAGGGGAGTACGGTGCATCGTACGTAGCGAAACCCGAGGCCGCCATCTGAGCTTGTGGTCTCGAACCCCGGCTAAGTGCTACGCGTAGTAATAACCCTGGTCGCTCTTTTCGATATCGACTGGCATCATCGCGAACTGTCGCACATGCTAAATTCCGGCTGGGTGCGCTTCGCTACAAATCGACACATTGGTCCGTCTGCGACTCCCTCTCTAGATACGCTCCTAGTGTATCGATTGTCTCCTGCAGCGATCAGTATTCGACTCACGATGTTGTTGTTATTCTGTATTTATGATGATGCTAGTTTATGCAATTTGTGTCGACAAAGCAAGCGATGGCGGACTGCAGTTTTGCGCCGCTGCGTTTCGTGGTAGTTTGTGTACTCTTCTGTTAATGTTTGAACCGTGTTCATTGAGAGACTCGAAGCGCACAAGACGAACAACCACCCCGTCCATCACTTGGCTCAATCTAGAACATTTGACGTTCGTACGACGGGCCGTGCGCAAAGCGTTCGAGATAGGTCTGCGATGGCGACATGAACGACAAGAAAAAGGCGAATAACCTTGTCAAGAGCATTGTTGCGAGCCGGGAGGGTGAAGCTCATAGTGACTGTGCTCAAGGTGAATGCCAAACTTTCGCAAAATCTGCTACCTGTGTGTGTGTAAAATTACGCCAAACGGACGCTTCACGCCGCGATGTCGTCAGCTTTCCGGATTATTTGTCCTCGACTAACTCTAGGTATACCTCACACGTCGTACCATGTGCGATGTAGCCAGCCCCTTTCCGTGTAAGTGTCGGGAACGTTAGGCGTACGTTTTGTGTCGTACTAAGTGCGATGTAGCAAGCCCCCTTATCGGTAAATTTGAATTATCGGTGCAGCTGTATAATTAGGTCACTCTGCGACTTCGTAAAAAATGGTAGTCACACACACCAATGCCCGCACGTGATTGGCGAAAAAGTGACCAAGGGCAAACAGGAGCTACAAGGCAAATGCTTGACACTGCATCGCGGCAAAAGTCTTGCACACTTGGCAAACAGTATATGAAGATCAGGACTCGTCTTGGGCACTTGAATATGCTCGAGCAATAAAAAGAGTATAGGCACGTTTTTCTCAGTAGTAAAGAAATCTTCCTCAATTAATTTTCTTTTTATTGAATTTGTTGTTGACGGTGTGACCGAGCAAGATCATCCTCCTTCTTCTTTTCTCATTTTTTCGCTTTTAGTCACCATACATCGCCTCCAACACAACAATCCATTGGCCTTGCATAATATTGCATGTAACGCTTACCATTATCTAGCCGCCATCTATCTGTCATGGGTAAGTAAATTTACATAACTGGATTTAATTCCCTGGAATGAATCCAGGTCATCGAAGGGCGGTCTCATGAGCTTGCTTCCCGATCTACCTGATCTAAAATACGTTGCGGAAAGATCAGTAGAGTTAAGGATACAGTAGATTCGCGGTAGCGATTAACCAGCGTAATTAGACGAGGACAAGTGCGTGTGTCTTGCTTTTTTTCGTAGATATTATCGATTGATCGGTCTAAATAACTACCGTCCATCATGTCAATTTGAGCTCTCATCAAGGGCAAATACGTATCGGTCAAACCAAATTGAGAACTCTACTGCATCGTAATATTGTATCAGAGCCTGAAATTTCGCAGCTTGTAGCTTAAGACTTTTATTTTTCCATAGCTGTAACTCAGAAAAGGCATGACGATGCTATGCGTGGGAGTTAGTCTGACTTTCACACGATTTTATGTGCAGTGGGAATGCAATATTCCTTTATATTGTACACAAATCTTAGACATTGCTTTCGATTGCCCCTCTGTGGACCACATTTGGGAAGGAAAAAAGTACAGAGTAATAAATTAGTGTCTTGCCGATTACCCAGCGCATTGCTCCAACAGATCTCTGCTATTCACCCTTGATGTAAGGCTGAAAATACCACAATCGGCAGTCACGTAGATTTTTCAGTTCATTGCCGAGACATGCGTGCTAGACAGACGGTCTGGTCTAGCCGAGGAGCGCGGTAAGGGGGGAAACACGATTTTATTATGGCGTTGGTGGGTCGATAAATCTGTGGAGAATAAAACATGGACGCCGCTGCACCCGCGAATACCTTAGGCGCCAAGATTGGCCGCTTTCGTAATGAGCATCCTGGCTGTTCCTGAGCGAACAATTCGGCATCGAGAGAACATGCTCAATAATGACATGGCGCTCCAAAAGGCCAGGCTGAACCCATTCCTAATGGAGAATTGGATGGTGTTTCCATGACTTGGTGGTCCGAATGCAAAAGATTGACCTTCTGGCAACCGTATTACGGTGCAGAAAAATGCGAATGACCTAGACTGACCGTATGGCGGTGCAGGCAAAGGCGACATACATAACTGGGTCAAGTACGTGTGACGCGGAGCACCGCTTTTACATGATAAGATGAATGCCATGCTTTCTCAAGCATTACTACGATCGATAGCTAGGATTTAAGCTCCCTAGAAACGAGATAAGTTTGAACATTTCACGGGAGTTCTTTGTAATACGTGAAGGACGTCTTGGAGCGTAAGGCAGACCTGGATCGAGTCAGCGACATAGATGAGACCAGATTTACTAGAAGAGCAGGCATACAAAGGTGATTGTGGTCGAATGCTCGCCAAAGGTGTGGAGCAAGTCCGCCCCGTGCTACTTCCATCTCATGGTCGTCGCGTGTGCGTAAGCAGCTGGATTTGTCTGCCCACTGCTACACGTCTTACGATTTAAGCGCTTCATATGCGACTTTATGGACAAGCGAAACGCATTGAAGATACTGTCACGACGGCTCCTTTGCGATTTATGATCAGCGCGAGAACTGTTTAATGGATCCGCCAGTTTTAGGACACCGTTTCCGATGCTTTGTAGCGCACCAACTGATCCAGGTACATGGCAATTACAGCTGTCACTAAAAGGCAAGATTATGCGTGAGGTGGTGCGGATCAAAATTGTAATGAAGCACCAAAACGCTTTACTGTCATCGTACAATATACTCACTCAGATTTCAGGGTAAGTAGGTGCCTTGGAATCTCACGTACACGTATCGTGCAGAGGAAGGTTTCAATACTAGATAAGGGTAAAAAGGAAAGCTGTATAAAGTACAGCTAATCTCCCGTTTGTAGATCCTATTAAGTTTTCTTTTAGCTATGCCAAACCACAGACATGTACTGCATCTATATATATGCTCACCACTCATTGCGTTCTTCTGCGTGTCTCGGCTTCATTGATTGATATCATTGCCATTTACTAACCAACAAACAGTGAACTACCTCTGCATCACAATATTACTTGCTAAGCTAATATTGTGAGAACATGATGTGTGTAGCAACAAAATATTCATACTTGATGTTAACCTTATGCAAAGTATCATGTAACGGAGGCAAAGTTAATACACGGGCTTCTATCAGCGAACAGGGCTCAACACCTGCAGCGGCTAGGCATGAATGTTTGCTCGCCTTTAAGACCCCCATCACTTTTGTGATGCTCAATTACGACTAGCGTGGGGGCAAAGGATCTATCAAGCGCAAAACAACCATTTTCGCTTGATGAGCACCACATGGATCAAGGCCATCAATTACGAGCCCTCCGAAGTGATTGATAACTTAGATCGTGAGGAATAGTTTGTTTTATTAGAAACACGACACTCGAGTTGTATAATGATGGTGGGCGTATCGAGGACATGAATTTGCTCTTCTAGCTTATAGTGAAGGAACTCGTGCATACCAAGGTTTTGGTCTTCCGCACCGTCCCCAACATCTTGCAAGCAGCTGAAGGTTTTGGCGCGGGCCAATGACTCTTTACGCATGAGAACATGCATAAAACTGACGCGTAGTAATCCTACCACGTTTGTACTGCATTTTCAAATGGTCTTTTACGACAATGGATAAATTGCAACAAATGTTTGTGAGGTCTACGTCAATATTTTAGCTGCGTGTACTGATCTCTTTTCTCGCACGCTTGGACTGTTAAATAATTAAAGTATTAAACAAACATTTAATCCCCCGATCACTCTTTTCATGGTCAATTTATGCGCTAACTCCAAGACGAATTCCATTTTTCGTTAGGATCTCGATTTCCGGCAAAAATTCACCCTGTTAAGTTACTTTGATCGACATGTCGTACATTAAGTTCCGTTAAGGGGTGTTTTTAAGAGTAATCACCCGCGCTATAGCAATTTGCCATCGCAAATGCACAACAAGACGCGTTTATTTGATCTGTGTACTTAGGAGGCAGTACCTGCCCTTACTAATTCGTTTCTGCTGTCCTTTGCTACACATAAGTGATTAACAGGATACAACAAAAAATGTATTTAAGGATAAATCACGAAAGTGTAAGCAGTAGGTGTGACTTATTTTAATATCAATTGGACCAAATTTAAAATTTAAACAGTTTAGTACTTGTGCATATCGGTTTATTGGCATAGCATAAAATGCAGGAGAGTTTTTCTCTTGAACTGTAGCAACCGGGTATACTTCAAAAAGCTAATAATTCAAATGTGAAACAAAATCTGTACAAATTTGCAGTAGTCGAGCGATTGATACGAAATAGCATTCAGAATTCAATATACGATGCCCCATACAAATAGGCGGCGCGCTTCGTAAATCGCATGCTTCAAGCTTCTTACATATTTTACAAGATGTGGTTATCCCCAAGAGTCTTGGCTGTCGCAATCCTCCTATAGTATCGGATTCAATCATTTGATTGTTCGACTGTATTCCAGTGTTGACACTAGATGTAGTGCGTGATGGCTAACTATTAGTAGGATGAAGCTCTTGCATCATAGTATCATCTGATTGGTTCAAGGCTCAAAAAGCATACTTGTTAAAGTTATAATGACATAACAAAAAAACGCATTTTAGCCGCTTGCTTATGCAACTCTTCATGGTTTAGTAGCAGTAAGACGGGTAAAGTAATTAATTTTTAGGCCCAGTTGCTCGACGTAGATACACATATGTGTAGAATGGATAGGTCAGGTAAATGTCAGTAATAGCGAACCACAACTTTGCACATTATACAATTAGAGAATCGAAGCTTAATAAGTTTCGTTCCTCCAGTAAAGCACAAGGTGTCTAACGGGGTCGACACGTCGCAATATGTTTTTCGTGTGAAGGCACGGAAAAGGCTGAGAAAGACTCTAAGTGTGGTACGTAATAAGATCTTTCATGTGGTTGGGGTACAGCAATTGCGTACCTAATACACAGTGTGTGTCACGCACGGATGACGTCACTACTAGACGTCATTGCCTGATGATAATGAAGTAAGTCATCAGCGCGTTTATATTCAGTTCAAGCGCGCTGTAAATACGGAGTTTCACCAGATCGCGCATCTATCCTTTTGTATTTAAGCTGACAACAATTTGGATTTCTGTTTGATTCATAAATACGATATCAGTCTTTGATTTGCAATCTTTGCAACGCGTGTGTTGGAGAACGAGGAACCGCGTCCGAGCCACACTAACTGCACGCCTACATGTATTGGTAAGGCAGTCGAAAGACGCCCATCCGAACCTCACTGCAAGCGAGAATACAGTAAAG